GCACTCCAACATGACATTGAAAAGGCATACAAGCACAGTTTGCTTTATTTTGGAGCTCTGGATAATTCATCTTAACAAAGGTGTCTCACCCTGGTATAGCGTGGTACTGAAATTTCATGTTTCCACACAACTTAAAAAAAGAAGAAAAGCCAACCTAAACCAAAAACAAGACTAGTTAAATGAAATCAGACAAGATTCTGAAGTGGATACTATTGCTTCTTAAGAAGTGAAATTCTTTATTGATTCAAAGGCAGGCATTTCTCCATGAGGCAGATAAACTTGCCCTTTAGAACAATGGGCAAGGATTTCCCTGGAACATAGCTACAACTTAATGTAGAAAGTAGAAAATAGGGGGAGGAGTGGTAAGTGGTCCACAGAAATAAGCCCTATTCTTTTGGAGGGGGTGTGAATCAAAATTCTATCAAGAACCTCAGCCTTAGAAAATAAATTTGTTCTGGAATGTTGTATGGCAGGATCAGAGTAATTGAGAGAGTCAGTTCTTCCAGAGCCTGGGAGGTGGATAATTAAGGAAGGCTGTTCAAATAATTACTTCGGCCACCATGTAGTGTTGACACAAGTGGTCTCTGTATCTCTTTCCTTTTTTGTAATTACCTTTTGCTATAGTTTCATAATTGAATTAGTGTATTTACATACAACATGGAGACCACATATGATCATGACTAGTAATAATTACTACCAACACATGTACAGTGCTCTATACAGTTGTTTTGTTTAATTTCATTAACCCTCAGAGTAAGCATCATTGTAATCTCCATTTAACAAGAGAGAGAACAGAGACCCTGAACTAGCCCATTGGAGGTGATAAAAGCAGAGTTAGAGTTTAGACCTTAGAGTTTAGACCTATGCTATATGCAGGATTCTTAATGATGCAGTGAGAAAGACCAAATGGTAACTACCATGAGTTGGTAAAGGGCTTCATGTTTCATGCTGAGGTACTCACTCAATCCAGTCGCTTTTTATAGGGATCCATTAAAGCATGGTTTCTGTCAGGAGTGCTGAACACCAATAGATCAAGCAGTTAGAGGAAGAGAAGCCCGTGAACAAAGCTTCATTCAATTTTACATAGATGGATAGATGGTGGATATAGCTGTCATCCACTTGCATTTCAGTGCAGATACCAAGTCTCTACCAAAATTTTATCTAGGAGAAAAAACCTGCCTTAATATACCAGGGAGTCCCTGGGTGTTGCAAATGCTTAAGATGTTTGGCTGATACCCAAAAGGTTAGATGTTCAAATCTACACAGAAGCTTCTCAGAAGAAAAGCCTGGTAATCTACTTCTGAAAAATCAACCACTGAAAACCCTATGAAACAGAGTTCTATCCTGACACATATAGGGTCACCATTAGTCAGAATTGACTCAATGACAATAGTTAATATACCAAATAGCCTTTTTTCATGATAGAACGATGAACAAGATACCCAGTTATGAATTTGCCATTTCTTTCCCATGTGGACTTGTGTTTGTAATTAAATAGGAAAACTAGCATCTAAAACATATTTGTTCAACCAAATAGATTTCTATTCTCTAAATACAGATGTTATCTGAAATACAGTAACATTTATATCAATCAAAAAAGCAACCATAAGGTACAAGGTGCTATTTGAGGTGATGCAAGAAATAAGTAACCCCTATTTTGCGGTCATAAATGTAGGACAGTGCACCAGAGTAATCCTAAAAGCTGTGACCCTGGGGGTCTGCCATTCCATTCCAGCCTCAAGCATCATTTCCCAGCCCTTCCACAGTGGTTTTGCCCCAGATTTATACTGGGAATTTTCATTGGTAGAAGTTGGAAAACCTTGCTTGAGAGAGAGAGAAGATGGGGGGACAGAGTATGAAATAACAATTAAGAATTAAATGGGTCATACTTCTCTTTACTTAAAAATGATGTATCATCTCCAAGGTGCTTCCCTGTGCTGTAATTCCTGCTATGGTTGGTTTGCTGAGAAGTGATAACAAATAGTGGGTCTGGGACTGTTCTTGAAATTTCTACACAGGCCAGGGAGACTGCAGCATACATTAGCAAATATTAGAACTTCCCTACATGCTTGTATGGAATCCAACTGACCAATTGATTTACAACCTTGTTTTTTTTTGTTTTTGTTTGTTTTTTAACAGAGAAAAATATTTGCCGGAAATGCAGTGAAAACTGCAAGACGTGTACTGAGGCCCAGAACTGTACAGAATGTAGGGATGGGCTAAGGTAAGAGAGTGAAGGAGTTCATCAAGTCACAGTCTCAGGAATTTCTCAATTTATTATAAATAAAATGGAAAAAAAGAAAGAAGTAAATAAATAACCCTCTTACCATATACCTTTGGTTTGACATTTGATTGCTATTTGCATTCTCTCAACCATTTTATGTGACAAATTGGATGTCAGCTAGCCTAAGGAGGGTTTATAAACCAAATAACATTTTCTTTAGCAAAGATTGCTCAGATATAAGTAAGTAAATAAAAATGGGAGGCATTTTGTGCTTTTGACCTGCAGTGTGCCAATCAAGGGTTTTTCTGCAAGTAATGCCAATGAATTATATTTAATCCCCTTGATTTATTCCTTTGATGGGCAGGAAACTAGTCCCTTATCTTTATTATGTCTCTCCATATAGCCAATCATTCTTTTATCTTAAGTACCTCAGGCTTG